AGCCAGGAGAAAAAGGTGTGCTCTGAAACTCTATGCCAGAGTTTGGTTGGGTAGCTACTTTGAGTAAGAGAAGTAGAGAGAATTAAGGATGACAAAACAGATATTGGTCTCAGTCAGTTAATTATAATTGTTACATTGGGACCCAGTGGTCTCCAAGGCCTCTCTGGTAAACAATTTTCCTTTCACTGTTCTAAGAGTTATTGATAATGCCCCTGAGACAGAACTTGTGCCCAGACCTGGGTCAGGAGGTGGTTTGATAATATATCAGTTTTGTACTCATCAGACTTGGCTAGGGTGAGTGCAGGGGCTTCAATGGGAAGGATGGCCCCACCTCATGGGTTATGGGGTTTATCAGCCTTCTCTAGTGAGTGAGGAAACCATGTTCAAATGTGAGTTCTTCAAGAAAGGAATTCAGATCAGGGCTCTCCAGCTTACAGAAGAAGTTAGGGTCAAAGAAGAACATGTTTACCCTGGGAATCTTTAGGTGCAACCAGTCTCAAATTGCCTTTGAAGCCAGCAGAATTGAAAGAGGTATGTGTGATATTTTTCTTTCTCATAAAGTGAGTACAGACAGACCAGCTAAACTCCTATGACTATAGTCAGAATGCATAAAACTCTAAATATCCTCCACCAGATGATTAGCAACGGAGTCCATTGTGTAGGTGCCTGTGTTTGAGGACACAGAGATGTCAAGTTCACTCAGAATACATTTTATTACTTATAGTCTATTTCTCCATCACTGATTGACACCCACTAAATATACACAGCAAGCAAAAATGTTTTACCATTTCTCCCTCTCCTACAATTGCATAAAGGTGGATAAATTATTAAATACTTGTAGAATTTTAAATTTCCTTATATAAAGTGAAAGAATTGGACTAAAGCAATTTTGAAGGTTCCTTCCAAGAGCCAATGACTCTCATATGTAAAAAAACTGTATTGGAAAAAAAAAAGCCAGAAGAAAAAGAGTAAAAGCATGATCAGAGTTGTTAAAGTTCAAGATAACATACAGATGATTTATCTTGGAGGCATTTACAACAAGAAGGTAATTGGTCCTATTTGGAGACAGTGTTGTGTGTGAGGTTGTTGTTATTTTCTGTTGAGTTGAAAGTGACCCACAGTTGACCCTCTAGTGGGTTTTCAGAGACAGCATATTACAAAGGAGGATACTGTGGTTAGAACGACACATCTTTGTGACTACAGCTCAGCTTCTTACCACTAGGCTACCAGAACTCCCCGTGTTTTGTGTGAGGGGTCAATTGAAATAAGTAGTTGATTCATCTTTCGGGTGTCAATTAAATGGACTACTTCAAATCATGCTTTTCTGGTCTTACAACAGAAAAATGTTTATAGATTGTTACTGGAAATTTGTAAAAGGTTATTGTGATTTCCCTAAAGACTCATGGAATGGAGGAGGATATTTATTGTATATGGAAGGAGTAGAGTCAGAATGAGTGAATTATTCAGCCTGTAGAATAAAAGAACTCTGTGATGGAGAATGGATAGGAGGATCCTTTTGTGCCAAGGATTGATAGTGAGTTTAATTCTAAACTAAATAGGAAGGAGTGAATTTAGGTTAAAATGTGAGGATGGATGGTGCAATATTGATTGTGATTAGTAAGGGGTTTCCAGAGCTTACTCTTCTGTATAAAGCAGAAGAGTAAATATTCTGACTTTAATGTGGCTTACTAAACAAGAAATTACTGAACTAACATGAGGATAGTTCTATTGTATATTACTAAAACATTTAAAAAACACAATTTCTGGTCTTAAGAAGTTTATTCTTTATAGACATAATGCATGGAACCATAGATGCAGGAAGACATAGAGATGAAAAAAAGTATTGACCTTTGTAAAGCAGAAAATTACTGATCTAAAATATGCAAATATGGAAATAATTTGTGTGTGTCAAATGGTAAAAGAGCAGAGGCTATGTTTTAACCTATAAAATTTAAAATTAAAAAACATGAAAGAATCAGAAACTCAAAACTATCTAACTCACTCTGTCAGTTAGTACAGAATATTTTTACAACATCCTAAAAGATCATCTTCGGCCTCCAAATAAGTAGAAAGCCTTAAGTTCTGCAAAAAAGCATTGCTTTTCCAGGTAACCCAGACAGCTGCTTCTTGTTCTTTTTTAAAATTTTCATTATATTGAGGCACAAATGTCCTCCTATACGTTCTACGGATACATTCTGCTTGTGATCTATTAGAGAACACAAATCAAGTTTATCACCTTTCTCATATAACAGATCTTTAAGTAGGTATAAAAGCTATCAAGTTTTTAAAAAGCATTTTAACTTTTAATCTATAAGGAATAATAAAATATTTATCATATTTATTGATGTTTTAGAGATTGTCTGGTTTTTATATTTTATGTATCTTGTAAGGCTTTAATCCACATCTGTTGCCAAAAACTTGCAAAATATAATTGCATCTGACCAATGTAAAGTTACAGGACCTTCACTTTTACTTAAGTGTGGAATTGTGGGGAGATTATTTGTGAACATCTGAAGAATTGAGATTAAAACATTAAATCATTAGAATCAGTCTTTACTACAACCTCATTGTTTTCTTTTTTCACATGGTAAAATTGAGAAAAGTTAAGGATTATGGACATTCTTACTCTATTTTTTCATTTCAAGAATACAAAATTCAGCAGAGATTGCATGCCACAATGATTTCTTTCAGATATTTGAGTGGCTGTAAGTTGGGTGGAGGTTTATATTTATTCTGTGTGCTCCCCTAGTGAGAATTTCCTCCTATTTGACTTTAGCAATGAAATATTATAATGACTAAATGCTGTCATATTTCTGAACTAATTTGACCAGGGAAAGGCTTGCTTTATCATCAAACTCACTTGGATGATAGGAAAAAGAGGTAGGTGCCTTTACAAGGCACCTAATTTTGGATCTATAACTTTGAGAAATCGCTTGTAATGGCTATTGAAAAGCCTCCCAAGGGATTTGTGCTTCCTGAGGTCAAGAGATTAAAAAGAGGTTTCTGAATTAAAAAATCACAAAAAATTGGCCAAGATCGTAGGTCTAATAGAGACTGATAGACTCATAATAGTATGATTATTAGCAACACTTTGAGCCTGGTGTGCAACTCTTATGTGCAACTTACAGCCAAATAATCAACAGGTTTATAAAGTAAATTGTAACACCAAGTAGACATTTAATTGTAAAAGCTATCTACCATACAAGATAACGGTGCTGAATTTGTGTAGAGATAAAGCTAATAAGGGAAGAGGAGAAAAGGTAAAAGGATGAAGAATTATAGTGAAGAAGGGGGAAAATATTGCTATAATATGGATGGATATTATAATCAATGTGATGGGAAAAATGTGTATAACTGGTTCAAGGAATTTGAATTTGCTTAGTAAACCTTAACTCAAATCACAATAAAAATTCAAAAAACAAACAATGAAGAAGGTTTTTTTTCATGTGTATCATATCTGAACACAAAACTCCTAGCATTTGAAACCACAAGATGAGTGGGAGAAATAAGCTCCATGAGGGATTTGAAATTATAAGAGCTAGAATTTGTTTCCGAAAGACAAGTATGTGGTCATTTACTGGAGAATGTGTCAAGCTGTCCTGAACAAGTCACCGGTATCTTGTGAGAAGGATAATGTGACACTTCAGATAGACAGAGGTGCTGAGATTTTAGGAGATCAGCCATTCTTTCCAGGAGAGTGGTCAATGTTTAGGCTTTAGGCAGCTTTTGCCCAAGAAATCATCTTACAAGAAGACAATCCTAACAACAATAACAACAACAAGAACCACAAACAAACAAACAAGACAAGCCTTGGTTAAGCAAAGAAAGTTAATACGATGAAGCAAGCATAGGAAAAACCTTTTAATTAGAATCTGCATAAGAAGCTCTGGTGACATTGTTGGTGGTGGTGACAGTGAGTCAATTGCAATTCTTAGTGACCCTGTGAGCGGCAGATCAAAACCTTGCCCTATCTGGTGCCATCTTCACAATCTCTGTCATGCTCAAGCCTATGGCTGTGGTCACTGTGTCCATCTATCTCATCGAGGATCTTCTTTTTTTGTTGATTCTCTACCTTTCCCAGAATTATATGTTTTTTAAAGGACTGGTTTCTCCTGACAACAAGCTCAAAGAATGTGAGACAATGTTTTACCTTCTTGCATTTAAGGAATACCCTTGTTTTGCACTATCTCCAAAACAGACTGTTCTTTTGGCAGTCAGTGAGATATTCTATATTCTTCTCCAATACTACAATTTGAAGGCATTGATTTCTCTTTTGTCATAATTGTTAATTGTCCAATTTCCAGATGAGATAGCAAGTTGTACTATTAATTAAAGATGGTTTTGACAGTTCATATCCATCTATGACTCCTAAGGAGAAAGATGGGAAATCTGTTCCTCTTGTGAGTAACAGCCCCGGAAATCCAATGGGTCATTATGAATTGTAATCAACTTAGAGGCAGTGAGTTTGAGCTTGTTTTTTGTTTTTATGTATGTATTAAAATTCTCTCGTGACAAACCATATTTCAGATAAGAGCCACCAGAACAAGTGTCTTGGGAGAGGGAATATAATGGTAGTTACAATGATAAAAGTAGTTTTTACTCAGAATATTATGTAAAGACAAAAAGAAAGTAGAGAAGTAGGAAAGCTTCTGCTTTCCTGAGCAATTTACACTCAGGTCCAGATGTTGTTACAAACTCAGTAGTACATTTAGTACAAAAAGTCAGTTCAGGTTTCTCCTTCAACCAATTACTACAAACTAAAAGCTATTCACTTGCACTAGTTGTTTGCAGACATCCTCTATAATAGGAAGGGGTCAAGTGATCAGGAGAGTCTTTAAGGACACACAATGTTCTAGTAGAGATTGCAATCAGAAAGGTGAAAACTTCAAGAGGTTTTTAATCCAACCATCAAGACAGTGTGTGATAATCAGAAGATTTTCTTTGCTCAAGAAGGAAGTGTCAAATAAGGGTAGGAGAAAGTGGTTTTTATGTTAACGGAAATGGCCTTCATAATCAGAATATTTATCCAGAACAGGGAAGGTACGCATATACAACAACTTGAGGAGGAGAACTCCTGGGAACCTCACTTTGCTCAGCTCCCAGCAGTAGCTTCAAACTCTAGGACAAGCAGGGACTTACATATCACAAATTAGGGAGAGCATTTCCATGAGTTGTATTCCCAGAGACTTTGGCTGGGCTGAAAAAACAAAAACAAACAAACAAACAAACAAACAAACAAAAATGGCCAGTTGAGGATCCCTCACCAACACAAAGCTATCCATGAAATAGGCAGGAGAAATTAGGTCATTTGCAGAAAAGCAGGAATTTAAGGAATTCAGCAAAACAAGATAAACTCCTCAAGAAGTTCTTAAAGAAGTCTTTCACAAAGAAACAATGAAGGAAAATGCTTGGGCCATTCACCAGAACTGGCCATATATAAGGACACAAAGCAAGCCTCAATAAATTAAAAACATCAAAATAATAGCAAGTATCTTCTCAGATTACAATGCCCTAAAACTAGAAATGAACAAAAGGATAAAAAAGTTATCCATGTGTAAGTTGAGTAACACCTTGCTTGAGCAGTATTAAGTTATAGAAAAAATAAAAAGTGAAATAAAAAAAATCCTTGTATGAAAATACAACATATGAAAACTCTGGGCTAGAGCAAAGGCAGTCCTCAGCGGTCAGTTCATAGCAATAAGCAAACACATTTTAAAAAGAAGAAAGGAGTAAAACAAACCACTTAATTCAACATCTCCAGCAAATTGAAAAAGAATATGCTAATGCCATATCCTCTAGAAGAAAGGAAATGATAAGGGCTGAAATAAACTGAACAGAAAACATAAAAGCAATTGAAATCATCAAGACTAGGAGATGTTTCTTCACAAAGCTCAATAAAACAGACCACCTGTTGGCTAACTTAACAAAAGAAAAAGAAAGGAAAGGAAAGAAAACACACACATAACTTAAATAAGAAATAAAAGAAACACCATCACAAAAAACTGGGATATTCTCATGCAATATTATTCAAAATGGGTGACCATGGAGGACATTATGCTGAGTGAAGTATCTCAGTCACAAAAGGACAAATACTGCATGGTGCCTCTGTTGTAAAACAGGACTGACCTCTGGGTTGGGAGGAGACGGAGAAGGATGGGTTCAATAATGTATATGACATTGAAACAGATGAGGGATAAAACTGTTTAAGAGGGAACATTATTAGGGATTTTTGTCATGACAGGAGTCCAGAGTGAAGGCTGTATAGTGGAGTGGTCCTGGGGGTAGGGATTGTAAAACAATGAAAAAATATTTCTTTTACTTTTTCAAGAGGGTAATGTACTAGGTGGGAGGGCTGAGAGGGGAGAAAACTGCAACAATGAATGAATGGAAATTCAAAGTTCTGTAAATTTTCATTGAAATTAATAATAAATTAAAAAAAAGAAACATACACACACACACACCCCACACACACACACAAAAAGCCCTGGTATATTATGAAAAGGTGTGCTACAATAAATTTGAAATTCTTAAGGAAATGGATAAATTCCTATAAACTCACACTGTACTTAAATTGAAACAGACAGAACTGGAACATTTGAACAGACAGATCCATCACAAAAGAAGAAATTAAGCAGGTCATAAAAAAATTATCAACAATAAAAGGTCCTGACCCAGATGGCTTCATGGCTGAATTCTACTAAACATTCAGAGATAAATTATCACCAATTATACTAAAACTATCTCAAAATATAGAAAAAGAAGAAACATCAGAGTCATTCTATGAAGATCCCAATACCACAAATAGACAAAAACATCATTAAAAAAAGAATATAGACAAATATGCCTTATGAACAAAAGTCCTTTACAAAATCCTGACCAATGAAATTCAACAATATATTAAAAACTTAATTCATCATGACCTGCTGGGATTCATAAAAAGTACCCAAGGACCATTCAATATATGAAAAATAATTGCTGTATTTTATTGCACTGATAAAGCAAAGAACAAGGACCACATGATCCTACCAATTGATGGAGAAAAAGGCATCAACAAAAATTAACATCCCTTCCTGATTAAAATACTAAACAAAATAAGAATAGAGGGTAATTTCCTCAATATAGTGAAAAGTACATATGTAAAACCAAGAGCCAACATGATTATCTATGGAAGGAGACTAAAGGGGTTCCCTTTGTCAACAGGGACCAGGCAAAGATGCCCACTATTACAACCACTATTTGATATTGTAATGGAAGTACTAGTTAGGACAATAAGGCAAAAGAAGGGAACAAGAGGTATCCAAAATGGCAAAGAGATGGCAAATCTACCACTATATACAGATGATATGACAGTGTAAACAGAAAACCACAAAGACTCATCCAAAAACCTTTTAGATCTAGTAGATTGATTTAGTAGAGTGGGAGAATACAAGATCAACATACAAAAATAATTTAGATTTCTCTACAGCAATAACACCTCTATGAGGTGGATTGATTCAGTGACTGGGGTAATTGGGATGGGTGTGTCAGAGGCAGTGCGATTGGCACAGGATAGAGCAGGTACATAGGGTTGCTATGAGTCGCAAACGACTCGACGGCACATAACAACAACAACAACAACAACAACAACAACAGCATCAAAGAAATTAGAGAAAAGGAAACTAGAAAAGCATTACTATTTACAATAGCCAACATAAGATAACATGCTTAGGAATAAACTTAACTAAATGGAGCTCTGGTAGCTTAGTGGAAGGAGTTGTGCTGTCAAATCAAAGGAATCCACTTGCTACTCTAGGGTATAAAGACATGCAATCTTATTGCAATGAATTTTCAGCCTCTGAAAACCTGTTATGAGTCAGTTCTGACCTGACAGTACAACAACAACAGTATAACAACAACAACAACAGCAAATGTTGGAGAAGATATGGAGAGATAAGAATTCTTATTCACCTTTGGTGGTATTTTAAAATGTACAGTCACTATGAAAGGCAGTTTGCCATTTCCTTAAAAAATTGAACATAGATATCTCATATGAACCAGGTATTTCCCTGCTAGGAATATACCTCAAGAAATCAAAGCTGAAATACAAACAGAGATACGTACACACACCTATACTCACAGCAGTGTTATTCACAGTAGCAATAAAATGGAAACAACCCAAATACCTATCAAAATTAATGGTCAGAGAAACTGTGGTATTTTCACACAATGGAATACTGTGCATCACTAAAGAACAGTGGAGTATGTAGAGGATAGGACACAACATGGAGAGTCTATAGAGCATTATGTTGAGTGAAGTAACTGAATCATAAAAGGATGAATACTGCATAAAGACTGCTATCGTGAAAACAGGAGGACAGCTGAGGAAGATAAGTATAAATGTTCAAAAAGGGAAGGGGGAAAAGAGAAAGGGGACAATAAAAGGGGGTGTACTAAAATCACTCCGATAACAAAGGTTAGTGAGTGGGTGGGCAGTAAAGGAGGAGGGAAAATGCAATGAGTATTTGAAGAGATAAGAAGGGTAAAGAAAATGAGAACTATCAGGAGTGAAAAACAATGTTTATGGAATTTGTAAGTAAACTAGTATAAAGTGAAAATGTTCTTTTAAAAGTAAAAACATTAATTCATTCATAAAACACAATGCATATGAATAATTATATAAACACTGTGTCATGAATGAAATACAATGCATATGAATGATTGTGTAAAATACAGTGTACATGAATTAAACACAATGTATATAAATGCTTGTATACAAACCAATAATAAAAAAAAGAGGCTGAAAATATTTCAATGAAAAGCTCAAGAAGACAAAGCAAAGTAATTTAATGAAATGTGCAAGTAGTTTGGAGTTAGAAAATCAAAAGAGAATAAGCTCTGCATTTCTAAGGCTGAAAAAACTGAGGGAAAATGCAAGCTTCAAATTGAAATATTGTATGATTATGGTTAAAAGAATAAATGACATAGGAATACCAAATGAAGAGAAATTAATGTACAGTGTTGCTACTTCAAAAAGAATTCACTGACACTTAAACATTTACTGAAGTAGATCATAGGATTAAGAACAAATGGTAATGAAGGAAGAAGTCCAAATGTCACTAAAGATATTGGCAAAATCCCCCAAGGCTTTAGTAATTGACAGAATGGCAAATGAAGTGTTTGAGCAAATACATGCAGCCCTGATCATGCTCATTCATCTGTTCCTGGAAATTTGGAAGACAGCTGGATGGTTGATAAAAGAGTGCTCCAATAGAAAATAGAAATTAATAAACAATATCAATATCACTGGCTAGTAAATATTTCCTAAAGATTATTCAAGACAGCTAAGCAGTACATTTAGATGAAACTGCCAGAAATTCAAGGTGGATTCAGAAGAGGCCCAGGAATTACAATATCATAATTGATGATATCACATGAGATAGCTCTTAGATAAAAGCACTGAATACTTGTAAGACACTTGTGGTTTTTTACTGCGCAAAGGAATTCAACATTCAACTCTGTGGATCATAATAAATTATGGCTAATTTTGAGAAGAATGAAAATCCCAGGACACTTAATTATGCCCATGAAATAGCTCTACATGTCCTCACAAGCAGTTATTCAAATAGAACAATGGAATACTGCATGATTTAAAAGCAGAAGAGTTGTTTATTAGGGTTTTATCCTTCCACCATAACTATTCTGTCTGTATTCTGAGCCAATAATCTAAGAAACTGGACTATATGAAGAAGAATGTGACATCAGGAATGAAGGAGAACTCATCAGCAACCTACATGATGCAGATGACATAGCTTTCCTTTCTGAAAGTAAGAACTTGAAACTTGAAGAAAATAAAAATCCCCACAACTGGAACAATTATTAACAAGATAAATGGGGAGGGGGAAAACCCTTAAAATTATCAAAGATTTTGTTTTACTGGATCCACGATTGGTCATGACAGTTTGGTCCTTAACCTTGAGTGCTGACCCCACTGCCCCTTGCACATTAAAGGCATCCTCACACTCTGAGTTGGTAAAGATCTCCCTCTAAATCTTAAAAGATTATGGCCCCTTGGAGATCCATTAAACTGTGGCCTAACCTTTCAAACTGAGAAGGCATTGCATTCCGTGCTCCTTCAAACAGCTTTTTTTATTGGATAGTTGCTCTGGAAATGTTACTTTTCTTGGAGAACAACAGATGTAGGTCCTTTGGCCTGTTTCCTGCCTGTACAGTTTCAAAGACAGACAATATTATTTCCTTTTGTCTTTTCTCAATTAGTCTAAACTGGTAAATTTTCTGCTATGGGCATTGCTAGATTCACCAATAAAGGCATAAACTAGAAACAAAAATTGTGTTGGCATATCTTTTGTGAACATTATAGGACATGCGTTCTTGGTTTGTACAACAGAAATTTTAAAATCTTTTTTATTCCTCTCCCCCAATTTTGTACAGTTTATTTTAAAATTTACCTCTTTCCACTCATATTTGTTGTAAATGACAAGGAAAAATCATATGGCTCCTTAACATATTGCTTAGAATTATCCTCAAGGAGTTAGCCAAGTTCAACACTTAAATTCTACCGAATGTTTGAGCGTAATTGAAACAAGTTATTTACCACTTCATGAAAAAAAAAAATGCCCTTCCTCCATTGGCCAATCACATATTCATTATTTTCTTTTAAAGCCTCACTGGAAGCACATTTCTCATCTACGGGAACCGCAGGAAGACTCAATACTAGTCTTGGAGAAGACTTCATTTTGGTGGGCTTCTCAGATTGGCCTAAACTGGAACTTCCCTTTTTTGTTTTTATTTCAATTTTCTACTTTCTAACTCTCTTTGGCAACACCACTATCATCATTCTCACCCGCCTAGATATTAGGTTACACACACCCATGTACTTTTTCCTCTGTCATCTCTCCTTCCTGGACCTCTGCTACACCACCAGCACTGTGCCACAGCTTCTCATCAACCTTCACGGATCTGACCGGACCATCACCTATGGAGGCTGTGTGGCTCAGCTCTTCATTGTTCTTGCCTTGGGCTCCATTGAGTGTCTGCTCTTGGTGGTAATGGCCTTTGACCGCTATGCTGCTGTCTGCAGACCACTCCACTATACAACCATTATGCACCCTCGTCTCTGCCAGACACTTGCTGCCATCTCCTGGCTGGGAGGGTTCATGAATTCTCTGGTTCAGACTGGCCTCATGATGGCCATGCCTCTCTGTGGCCTCCATCATTTGAATCACTTCTTTTGTGAGATGACTGTGTTCCTGAAGCTGGCTTGTGAGGACACACAAGGGACAGAAGTGAAGATGTTTGTGGCCCGAGCCATCATTTTGCTGCTTCCTGTATCATTAATTCTAGTTTCCTATGCACACATTACCCGAGCAGTGCTGAGGGTCAACTCAGTTGCTGGCCGCAGAAAGGCATTTGGAACTTGTGGGTCCCACCTCGTAGTGGTTTCCCTTTTTTATGGCTCAGCCATCTATACATATCTCCAACCTACAAGTACTTATTCTCAAAGTGAAGGAAAATTTGCTGCCCTTTTTTACACCATAATTACCCCCATGCTAAATCCTGTGATTTATACCTTGAGGAACAAAGATGTGAAGGGGGCTCTAAGAAAGGTCTTATGGAAAGGCAGAGACTTGAGGTAAAAGAGGAGGGAAAGAATGATTAAAAAAATTGTCAGTAACAACTCTCAGATTATGAAGCCTATTCTATTACTATCAGGGCAGTCGGTCAATAGAAAATAGCCCTTGGAAGACCTTAGGGTTCTGACACCTTACCTTCCTTTTTTAGAAACTTGAAGTGAGAATATCTGGTGTTCTTTATAATTTAGTTTTTAAAATTATTTTACAGAACAGAGTAAGCATTTATCTTTATCCACTTTCTAAAGAAAGGAGGTTTGAGAGAGGGTACTGCAGCTACTTCTGGAAAGGGGTTAGGTTCTAAGGAAGCTTGAGTGTCAGGGAAGAATTAATTCAAAATGATAACACCTTTTCTAAAGTCAACAATGCCCAGTATGGTGCCAAATAAATGTACCCCATGACTAAGGAAAAGTTCACTCTGATCTACAGATTACCTGTGACTTGATCATGTTCCCTCATATGCCAGGGCCAATTCCTAAAGTCTCTTTTCTAATCCTTTATGATACCTGGAACAAATAAGTGGATCATGAACTTTTCCATGAGCCTGAAAAGTAGATCAACTACTGAAAGAAAAATGTAAAAGCATTATTGTGGAATTGGTGAGATGTTATACACATCTTGTCAGCTCCAAGTGTTTTATAAAGCTGATTATTATCATGGTCAAGATATATTACATGCTAGAGAAGGAAATATAGAAGAAAATTCCCCAGTCAAGATGAAGGAGTATGCATGAGAACCTTGCCCCTGGTGAATCGTGAATGACTGTGTTGGTGCCTTTATGATGGGAGCCATAGGTGGTGGCATCTTTCAAGCAATCGAAGGTTTCCGTAATTCTCCTGTGGGTGTCAGTCACACAGTATGCGGGATTTTGACACTATTAAAACCAGAGCTCCACAGTTAGGAGGCAGCTTTGCCATTTGGGGAGGTCTGTTTTCCATGACTGACTGCTGTATAGCTCAGATCAGAGGGAAAGAAGATCCCTGGAACTCCATCACAAGTGGTGCCTTAACAGGATCCATACTGGCTGCAAGAAATGGACTGGTGGCTATGGTTGGGTCAGTTGCGATGGGTGGCATTCTCTTAGCTTTAATTGAAGGAGCTGGTATCTTATTGACAAGATTTGCTTCTGCACAGTTTCCCAATGGTCCTCAGTCTGCTGAAGATCCCTCCCAATTGCCCTTCAACCCAGTTACCTTCCTCACCTTTTGGAAACTATTGTCAGTATCAGTAGGATTAAAACTCATGTCCTGGAGTTAACAAGTGAGCTGTAGTTCAAGAATGATTTTGGAAGACCAAGTTACAGTCTGTTTTTAAAATAGTAGGCGGGACAACTCTAGTCATATAGGCTGTGGGAAGCCACCCCGCCCCTTCCCCCCCCCCCCCCGGCCCATTTAAAGGACCCCGAGGAGGAGGTGTTAAAAGAGAATACATTTATTTATTCACACTTGGGTTGGATTTGTGATCAGAATAAATGTCTAATATCTTAAAAATATGACAACTGCTTAGAAGATGAAGGCCCAAAGGACAACTAGCAGTGAAATGAGACCACCATTTCCTTTGGGACTTCTAAGCCTGGGCTTATGTGTTCTGTTATTCAAACAATAAAAACTCCTGGAACTTGCTCTTCCTTTTAAGATAAATTGTAGAGTTCTGCTTTTCATCCTCAGATTCTTCAATTACTGCAAGGTACGTTTAAAACTGTATGTTTTATAGTTAGTGCCTCATCCCACTCATAGACAGTTGTGTTTGAGAAGAATTAAGTAGAGTCAGCCTGGATCGTTCCACGGTAAAAGGCTTTACTGACAGAAGGACGTGGCACATTGTTTGATATGAAACTCTCTCACCTTTGGGGCTCTGTATTTTACTTCATGGTCATCAGAAGCCTCACGAGAGACAATTTCCTTCCAATATATCCATTTCTGTAGGAGAAGAATTGCTAGGTGGGTACTCCTGGCATTGCAGAAGTCTGGGGTTAATTGTGTCCTTGAAAAATAAAATAAATGCTGTTAAAAAAACACACACACACACAACAAAACAACAAAACTTCCCAAGCATCTAGACACATGGTCGTTGGGGTAAAAGCACAATCCCCAATGAACAAAACCACAAGAGCTCCTACAATTCAAAGACATCAATTCTTCTTTTGTCTTCTTTATGCATTGTCCAACTTCCCCATGCATATTAAGCAATTGAAAATATTACGATTTGGGTCAAGCACACCTTTAGCCTTTAACTTAAAATTTATCGTTGCATAATATTACTCTTTTTTCTTTCTAAAGGGTTGGAGTCAACATCATATTGTATTTGGTAAGAATATACCTATTTTTGCTTGGATCTTGTTTGACTTCTGGTTTATATATACAATAATTATCTTATCTTACACGTTTCTCCTAAAAACTTCCATCTCCATTTAGATCCTAGTGCTCCTGATGAGAAACCTGTCGCTTCTAAAATATAATTTCTTTAAAGTGACATGCTTCTTCTTACTTTATATTGCTAATAACTAATAAGAATGTAATTTAAAAATAAAGTTGTTTAAAAATAAAAAAAAAACACCCCTCCCAAAACAAGCTAAGAAGAAGTAATAAAAGAGAGAAGAAGGAATGGTAAGAAGCTCAAAACAACTATGAGATATCATCTCACCCCAGTAAGAATAGCAAAATATAACAGAACAGCAAGCAACAAATGCTGGCGAGGATGTGGAGAAACTGGAACTCTTATTCACTGTTGGTGGGAATGTAAGATGGTGCAACCATTGTGGAAGGTGGTGTGGTGCTTTCTCAAAAAATTGCAAATAGAGATACCATTTGATCCAGCAATCCCATTACTGGGAATATACCCCAGAGAGACCATGTCTGCCATCCAAGCAGATATATGCACACCCATGTTTATTGCAGCTTTGTTTACAATAGCAGCCTAAGGGCCGATCAACAAATGAATGGATAGAGAAACTGTGGCATATCCACACAATGGACTACTACACAGCATTGAAAAACAAGGAACTCATGCAATATTATTCAAAGTGGGTGACCCTGGAGGACATTATGCTGAGTGAAATATCTCAGTCACAAAGGGACAAATACTGCATGGTGCCACTGTTGTAGAATGGGTTTGACATCAGGGTGGGGGTATGACAGAAAAAACTGGATAAATTATGTATATTGTATTGAAACAGATGAGGGAAAGAACAGATAAGAAGTGATATTTGATTGAGTATTATGGTTAGCACAGGAATCCAGAATTAAGGTTGCACAGAGAAGTGTACTCTGGGTAGGGGGTGGGGGGAAGGGACTTGGGAATTGTATACTAATTAAGGAATTTTTTTTCTTCTCTCTTCGGAGGGGGAAGCGAGCTGGTGGGGAGGGGTGTGCAGGGAGAAAATTGCGGCAATGAATGAATGGAAATCCAAAACCTCTGTAAAAAAAAAAATTAAAAAGAAAAATAAAAAGAATGGTAAGAAGTGACAGAAATGAAGGAAAAAAAGTTATAATAGTGGGAAGTTCAGGAAGCCTGTCACTGTCAAAGTGTAAAGATAGTGGATACCTGAATGTCTACCACTGTCTTCCACCTATATCTTAAGACTGTATTAGTCAAAGTGCAAGTTATTATTGTTGTTAGGTAATGTTGAATTGTGAGGACCATATGAACAACTTGACAGAGGAAAGTTGCCCTATCCTTCACCATCCTTATATTTGCCATGTTCAAGTCCATTGTTGTAGTCATTGGACAGTCCATCTTGTTAAGGATATTCCCCTTTTTAATTGACCCTTTATTTCTCCAGGAAAGCATTTCTTATAAGGACTGGTACCTCCTAATAACATGACCAAAGCATGGGAGATGATGTTTCACAATTGTTAACAACCTTTTAAAGTCTCAATAATCTTTTTTTTTTCTATA